TTTATCAATTTAAATTAATAAAATAAAATATTATTTTTTTTAAATTTATAAATTTAATATAAGTATTAAAAACTTTTAATTTAACTGTTAAACTATTAAATTTTTATATAAAATATGAATAAAATAAATTTATTTAAACTAATTTTTTAGAATAAGTGAATCCATTCTTATATATATTGTATATAAAAATATTTTGATTTATTTCCATTGAACACATCTTTAAAAAAGATAGAAGAAAGTTGAAATATAACTAAATCTTGAATCACATTAAGCATTTAAGTTATAAGCATTTTGTGATATTTCATAACATAATAGAGCAGGAAGCACCGTAGTACTAATTAAATATAACTAAAAGTTGCAAATTAATGTTAATCCAGTTAATTTGAAATTTAAATAAATAATGGAGTTAATTAACACTTGGAGACAGGTAAAGACAAAATAAAGGATATGGAGGCTAAAATTGGATTTATATATATAAGTGAAGAACGTTTGTAAATATCCAGGAGCAATGATAGTTTGGTTTTACGTGCGAACCGGTGTGCCAACAAACGGGTAAGCTTATATGCTAAGTGAATTAAACATTAAAAAAGAAAAGAGGCAAGACCGGGGGACGCAGGGTTTCACAACTAGTGTCAAGAAACATATACTAGTCTAGTAGTACTAGAATACAAAAATGTCTCCTTCACCCATATGAAAACATAAACAAAATAAAACATGATATTTGGCTAAAAAAGGGGAAAAAAAACAAAACTGATAGCATCCCAGGGTTGCCGCCGATACAAAACTAAGCCATTTTGATTGGCAATAGAAAGGAGGAAAAGGTGGTGTGGTGTGAATCAAAGAGCGAGAAGGGGATCCCAAACGAACAAATCCCCAATGTCTTGGAAATTATCACACTCCCTAAACCCCAAATCCAAATTCTCACTAACAAACCCTTCACTCAAATCATCCCCAAGGAATATACTACTCTCTGCCACATTGAACATATCCAACGTGCTTTCGAACTCAAATACCACATCGCTAGGAATCGGAAACACTGACTCCGACTTCAAGTACTTATCCCCCGAAACGCACGAATATTCGCATTCACTCGCAGGCTCCGCCACGTCGTTTGCAGTCATCGTTGCGGTTACGGACTCGCCTTCCGAGCAGCACCCAAGAACGGAGGTGGGGGAACGCAACTCTTCGCCGGAGCACCACCCGCTTTTATTTTTCTCCGCTGGCGGCGTTATGAAATTCGTCAGCGCGTCGGCGCCACGCAGCTGAATGGCCGCGTTGTCGTACACAATGGCGGCTTCCTCCGCGGTGTCGTAGGTTCCCAGCCAGAGGCGCACGCGCCGCGACGGGTCCCTTATCTCCGCCGCCCACTTCCCCCACGGCCGCTGCCTCACTCCCCGGAATTTCCTCCCCGCCGCCCGCCGCCGACTCGCCGGAGCACCGCCGGACTTGAACCTTCTTTTCTTGGAAACAACATTAACGCCGCCATGGACTGTAATCTCGTTGACGAAGCACTTGACTCGGCGGCGCGTGGAGGAGGCGGAGGGTTGGTCGTCGTCGTCGCTGGAGGAGTCGGTGGCGTCGGCGTCGGCGACGCGTACTCTTACGAGCTTGGGATAAGGGTGGTTCTTGAAAGGGTTTTGTTGTTCTTCCATGAGGTGTTGGGTGCGTTTAAGGTGGTGAGTGGGTTGGTGAAGTGAAATAGAAATAGAGATGAGAAAGGGAATGAGAGAGAGAGATTCGTTGGAGAAGGGAGAGTGGACACGGGCGAGGAAGGTTGGAGAGAATATAAATAAAGAAGGGAGAGAACACGTCAGAGAGAAGCTTAAAAGGGACTAGGGAGAGAAATCCACTGCTTCTAGAGTTTCTTAAAGAACGAGAAGGTTCAAAGAAAGTTACGTTTAAAAGGAGAGAATAACAGCGTTTGCAGCGTGGAACAAAAGAGAACAAACATATCTTCTTTCTACCTTAGTCTTATGACCCAGCACCAACACATGTGGGACGAAAGGAAAAGTGTTCATTTTTCAGCTAAAGTTGAAGGATTGAAAAAAAAAAAGAAAAAAAAAGGATTTGAACAGTTTCTTTTACTGGAAAATGAAAGAAATTAAAAACAATATTCAAGCTAACTGTGCTGTAACTGTAACAATTGAAGGGGATTTCACAGTGTGGTTTGTTTTGTACTGCGAGGAAGGAAGAAGAAAGGGTACGAGAGGAGAGGTATTTTGGGCACAGAAAGGTACTGGAGAGTAGAAGAAAAGTACTGTTTCTTTGGTGAGCTGAAGCTGTTTTATACTTTTATAGGATCCAACAGATCTGTGACTTAAACCCGGTTTAATCTCTGCAGGGTAAAATGGTTTATAGAACAGTATTTTATGGGTTAACCTTTGATGAGGTGATGTGGGATACGAGACACATAGGAAATGCAGCAGTATTTAAGGCATAAAAATAGGACACGTGGGAGGGCAGAAGGCATACCAATCACGTGAGCTGAGATACTTTGGCTCAGAACACCCATTCTTTGACTAAAAAAGAACCGAGTACTTTGCGCTAATCGTCCCACTCTTCCTATCTCCAACTAAAACTCACTGCCTCTTCAGTTACTTCTTAGATAACAGTTAATTAATTTAATTTTCTACCGTTCCAGTATATCTTCCTTGGTCGAAGACATTTTTATGGAGTACTTTTGAGTTTCTGTCTTGTATGTGACTCTTTCGATTAAATGTCAACATAACTCTCATGTCGTTGGCTGTATTTTCCAACACTGAAACCTTAAATAAAGTGTCAGTTGTGCTTAATAACGAACATAAATACTATATAATTTTGAGGTTTATTAATGATAATAAGAATATGTTATTATTTATGAAATCATAACAATAAATAAAGATCTTATGCTCGGAGTCATGATAGCTTTCCTATATATGAGCATGTCTAGGTCTTAAAGAGTTTTAAGTTAAGGTCTAGATAATAGCTAGTTCTTTTTAGAAATAGTCTTTCATGTCAAACCAAATTTGAAGGGTTTTTTGTTTTTGTTTTTTTATATAGGTGTGAAATATGTAGTCATTTGAGGCTTGTGGTTGTGTATTCTCTGAATACAAAATTGATTTAGAGTAAACCATTCCGATTCGGCATATGCCCACCATTGTGTTGTTACCTATGACTTAATTAAGACAAAAGTCCAATAGTTTAACTAAGATTGGATATAACTATGCTAAGATTTTTGGAACATATCTTTAAAAAATTTGAGATTATAATATATCCAAACATAAATATATATACTCCCTCCTAAAGTTGAAATGAGATAGATTACTTTCTTAAATATTTTAAATCTGAATTGTCACCAGATTATTTTAAAGAAAGTCTTCAGTACTAAAACAATAGATCAAGAGTTATATGTTTGATCTTTTTTATAAGTTGAGAAAATCTTAAAAATCCAATTGCCGTTAAAATATGTTTTTCTTGTTAAGTTAGATGACTAGTAACAGATTTAAATTTAATTATCATGCTATAAGATAATAATAATAATAATAATAATAATAATAAGAGATACAAATTTAAACTAATTTTCCTTCTCCAAACAACACATGGATAAAACTAATCACTGTGGATAAACTATTTCTCACAATATTGTTTTCTCTTATCATATCCTATTTTCCAACATTAATTTTGTTATTGTATGAAGCAGAGGAGAATGAAGCTAAAATTGTATAGGGTTTATAAATGGAGATAATAAGGGTCGAGGGATATCGTGAATGGGGAGAGCGGAGAATATATGATACGAAAAGAAATGAAAAGAGAGAGAAAAAGAAACCATTCGAAAGACAACAGGGTGAGAAGAACAAACAAGAAAAAAAAATGACAATTTTTACATAAAAATTGATGATAATTAAAAATGTATAGTAATTTATCTGGGACTCGTTTAATACATTTTAGAGTTGTACCACAAAAAAGACACAAATCAATGAGATAAATAAGCTTTATAAAATGTCTAAAAACAATGGGCTAGTTATGAAGTGTATTGAAAAGCTTTTCCAAATAAAAAATAAATAAAAAAAATACTCTGATAAATTGAAATTGATTTTATTTAATTTATTTTGATCAAACTCTAAGCCAAATGTACATAAAGTCATGGATTGTGATTATTTGCATTGGAATTGTTCTTTACTTTTATGTGATGGAGAACTAGTAAACAAAAATGCACCATCTCCGAGGCTTAGTTTCTTAGTTGTGTGCTGTGCATGCCTTGAGCCTCAAAAGAGAAAGAAGCTTCGATGCTCTAGGTTGCTAATTTTCAAATTAACCGCACTCAAATGCATATTATTAAAAGTCAATGGGCGCTGTGGCCAAAATATTGCTCACGAGCTTTGTTTTCAGTTATTAACTCACTAGTTTCAAAACACTAATATATTGATTGGATGTATACTGTATATATTAATCACTGAATATGCAATAATTAAATTGTCTTTTAGGGTGATGCTCTTAATATGTGTATTTCTTTACGATGACCATAATTAGAGCCTAGGGTCATGCTCTTAATATCTTAAAATTAAAATATATGAGTAATTTAACATCCATAATCAATATTAATTATTGTAAGTTTTCAAACAATATTTTATTTGAATCAAACAGAAGTATTCTGATATATGTTACAATAAAAATTACATTACTTTAAAATCACATTTAATTAAAATAATTTTGTAAAACATGTTGTCAACTCTAGAAACAGGCCCAAATTCCATTTGCCAAATTTTCATACGTGGCACTGGTTGTTATCTCAAATGATAGTCGAAACGCTTTGGCTGGAGAACCTAGTCATAATGATGAGAGTGGTGGAGTACATGCGATACAACGGTAATGTGGTGCACTTTACGGAAGAAAGCAATCACGAAGAGTTTGACTACGGTCAGCACTTGGAAGAAACGAGAAGAGGTGTAAGTTAATTAAATACTGTATATAAATATTATGTATGTCTCAAATGATGTTAATAGGAGTACTACAATGCAGGTCCTCTTAATCACTAATCCATTGTTCCCAAGCATTTGTGTCAGAACAGTTCGCAGCAGGCTGTGATTCTCGCTCTCTCCTCAATTAATGTTTATAGCTGATGATTAATAAACTTGGAGAACCCTGATTTTCTGGTACCCAACCCGTGTGGTCGGTGCCTAAGAATAACATGCAGCTCATATATATGGATTAATATTAATAGAGTTAATTATCAATACATTACCAGTTTAAAGTTTTTTTATACTAATAATTAATTATATTTTTTAATTATATCATGTCATTATAAACATATTTACTTTTAACAGTAACATGACATAATTAAAAGATATAATTAATTATTTTTACACCGATAGTATATAAATAATTAACTCATATTAATAACTTGTGCACAACTCCAGATATATATAAAGTCTAAGTACAGTTTCTTATTTTGTTTCACGTATTGTAATTAGGCACCATTAAACAATGTTCGAATGGTACAGTGAAGTCTTCAGATTGTAACAATGAGTTGTTTATTCATCGTGCTAGAAGTTCACTGAAGCTTATTATTTAAAAAAAAATTGTAATAACATTTCCGTAAATAAACTTATAAAAGGATGATTGTCAATGTCTCATATAAATAATTTGACCAATAAACTTATTTATCTACTTAGGATTGATTTGAGATAGTATTCAACAACATTATCCTTTCCTCTCTCGAGTTGGGAGAGAGGTGGTCATGCCTTGTTTAGTTGACTTCCTCTCAACAAAACACAAACACAGACTCTTTTGTGTACTAAGGCAAAGAATAAAAAAACACTACAATACAAATAGTATTTAATAACATTTGAAAAATGTTACTTAATTATGTATAAATGTTGTTAATTTGTTTTAGCAACATATTATCAAATGTTGTATATAGTCTATGTTGCTAAAGACTTTTAATAACATTTTTACATAATTAGTTAACATTTTTTAAATGTTATTAAAATAGTATTTTTGTAACATTTTAATGATGTTGCCAAGATTTTGTTAACTTTATAAAATAATAATTAATTTTAATTTAAATATTAAAATCAACTATTATATTTTTATATCTCCTAAACTTCTAGGAGTTCCTTAAGTTTTTAGGGAAAGACAATTTTAGTTAGTCACCACTAATTATATATAGAATATCAAATTTGATTTATCTTAAATATAACTATATGAGTATATATGCTCTTTATGAGTATATATACTCTTTATGAGTTATTAATCTATTCGATATGAGACTTTAATTATGAGTTACAATTATATATAAGAGAAATATACTTTTTTTGACTCGATGTGAGACTTTGATTTTATAAGCAATTATAGTAATATTTTTCAAAATATATTCCAAAATAACTTATGTAAATTTTTTTACTCGATATAGGACTTTAATTTTGAAAATAATTAAAAACAATAATTTGAAATAAAAAATGTTACTCTATCTACAATGACATTTTTCAAAAAAATGTTACAAAATAACATATTTATTTAATATATAGTAACATTTTAACAAGTGTAAACAAGAAAATGTTGCTAAAAGATTAAAATCTAGTAGTGAAAAAATAATACTCGAATCATAAGGATTGTTGCTGTGATAAAAAAAATGTTATCAAAGATTTTCACATATGATAATTGAAATATATTGAAGTACATTGATTCTCACTTGCTTTTTCTTTTATTAATATTTTTTTTACAGAAAAGAGAAAGCCATTTGCGAGCATTTAGTTGCACAAAGAAAAAGAATTAATATTTTAATAAAGTTACATTCACTTTATTTTTTTTGAAAATTAATGAGCTTTCTATTTTTATTTTTGAATTTGATCCGATAAAATATACTTTTAGTTTTATTTATTAAACACAAATATAATTATTCTAGGTATCACTTTCCGTACTGTTAATTATATAAAAATAGAGGAATCATAATGAATTCGTG